TCACAGTGAAAAAGAACCAGGAAAAGCCTCCTAGGTGAAGCCATGCCTAAACAGCCACAGATCGGCTCAGAAGGAGCTCGGTGGGCAAGGAGTGGAGGCACACCCCAGGCCCCAGATGGGAGGGGCAGCCAGCACAGGCTGGGGAGTGGGTTCCAGGACGTGGACTAACACTGGGGGACATCACTAGATGGTGGACTAACACTGAGGGACATCACTAGACAGGTGGTGCTGGTGATGAGAGCGAAACCTGGGAACACAGGCTGTGGCCGACTTCATGTGTGAGACAAAGGGAGCTACAGAGGGTGTTTGAGCAGGTGAACGAAGTGATCCGATTTTCATGTTAAAATAATCCTATTAGTGGTACTGCTAGGATGGAACAGATGGAGCTAGATTCAGAAAAGCCAGTTAGGAAAGAGTAGCAGTGCAGGTGGTGTGGCTGGGACAGGAGTCAGACTTCTCACTGTCTTAAATGACAAACAGAGTCCCAGCCCAATGTCATCTCACCAGAGGAAGGGAGGTGAGAGACACCTCTTAAGGGCCCTCAGGTTGATAAGGCTGAATCAGAACGTTCTGTGGCAAGGGTGACAGAAACATGGGTCAGCGAGAGAGAGAGAGAGAGAGAGAGAGAGAAGCAGAACCTGTTCCCAGTCAGGCAGTGAATTACCACAACATCACATCAGTAGGATCACCAAAGGCAGAGGGAAAAGGTCCCTGGAGCTCCCACCCAGGCCAAGTGTGGGAAAGGAGCCAAAGGAAGGGCCTGAGGGGTCCCCAGGGTACCTCTTCCCAGCAGTACAAAGAGGAGTTTATTTTAAAAGACAGTGGAAGCCAGCAAAGAGACAAAGCTTGAAACTGAAATGTAAACAAGATCCAGACCAGACACGGCTGCACACACACAAGCACAGAGTCCAAGAAGAAGGAAGCCCCGCTAGGAGCAAAAGGACTCCCCAAAGTGCTGCAAACGCTGGATCGGCAGGCACCAGGAAGGTGCTTGTGTACCTAAGTCCCCAGCATGCTGATGGACAGCTTCTCCCATGAGCCAAAATTTCAAAAGTCCTTACAAAAATGATACATTGCAATCATAATCATCAAGATATGGAAATAATGTCTCTTGATGAATTAAAGGATAAAGAACATGGGGTATAGATTACACAGTAGAATAGTATTCCGCCATAAAAGAAAATAAAATCCTGCCATTTATGACAACATGGACGAATCTGGAGAGCATTATAAACCAGATATAGAGACAAACACTGTATGATCTCACTCATATGTAGAATCTAAAATAATCGAACTCACTGCAGCAGAGAATAGAAAAGTGGTTGTTAAGGGCTTGGAGGTGGAAGAAATGGAGAGAGAGTGGTGGAAGGGTGTCCAGTTTAGTTACAGATAAAAGTTCTGGAAATCGAACACACAGAATGGTAACAACAGTGAATAATGGTGCTTTGTTAGCCAACACCTGGAATCAACTTCAATGCCCAGTAACAAAAAGAATGGGTGAAGAAAATGTGGTACAACTACGAAATGGAATACTGCTCAGCCATTAGAAAGAATGAAATCCTGTCATGTGAGGCAGGGTAGATGAGCCTGAAGGACATTATGCCGAGTTAATAAGTCAGACACAGAAAGACAAACACCACATGAGCACTGTCATTCCTGACCACTCTTGTCCCCACTACCTGCCACACAGGCTCCCACCCTGTGCTCCCCTCGCGTCATTCTGGAAGCAAATCACAGACACTTTACCTTTGCATCTGTGAAATTTCAGGATAATTTAAAAAGTTTTTACAAACATACCTCTAACATCATCACTAGACCTAAAAAAGTTAACAATGTGTTAATCATTTGCTTATTCATGTCCCCAAGAAGCTGTAAGAGGTTCTCTCCTTGGGACCAAGAGGGAAGGACCATGAACATCTAAGATAAGCCGACGTTACTAAAACTAAAACCTTATTTTCTTTGAACAATAACAATGACACACTTGTGATCAGCAGAGGAAGGTCAAGTTTAGTCTTTCTGGCTTTATACTGGGGCAGGGAAGGTGGAACGGAAACAATGAGGATGATATTAACAGCCAAGGTGGAAGTTACCAGGTGACCCAGGCACACTAGAGTTTAATCTTCACCGAAGCCCAAGAGGGAACCCTTTCCCTTTATAGGGTTGGGTAAGCTGCAGCTCAGTGGGATGCACAGCCGGCCAGAGACCTCACCAGAGGTCGTGGTGTCAGGTCAACACCCCGTCTGTCTGCCTACAGAGCCCACGTTCCTATCCCTCTGCCCTGTGGGGGGACCTGGCCCCATGCTGACATTTGTCGGAAGAGGTGGCACTGCTCTGGGCCTCCCTCACCAAGCCCCCACACAGTGCTGCGCACTTCACCAGGACCCAGATATGGGACACTCCCAAACTCCTCTGCTATCTCTTCCCTCTCTCGCTATTGACGCCCAAAGCAGAAGGGGATCCTCTACAAGAATGTACCCCAAAGGAACACAGGGGCGTAGGGAGTGGGGGTGGACACCCAGCATCCTTCAGAGGCAGCACTCACCAAAGCGGCCATCCAGCTCCACATACAATTCAATGATTCCATACGCAATGGTGGTGGCAGCTGGGATCTCCAGCACCACGTTGGTGTCCTTGGTGACATTCCCGTCCTCCATTGCTGACACCTGTGGGCAAGAGCACATACTCTGACACTCCCTGACTCCTTTCTGCCTCCCTACTGTGTGCATCCTCTTCTACAAGGGGTGCTAAGACAAGATCCATGGAACTTAATAGGAGTGGGAACTGGGCTGGCATGGATAAGGATCTAATCCTTGTCGGCATCATGATGTTTAACACATATTCCCAAGTCAGTGGCTAACTGACTGCGGCACAAAAGTACACAATAACCTCAACTCCTGGATCCAGCAGTGACTGAAGCTGGATCACCACAAATATGGCAACTACACAGGCCAAGAAACTCTCGTTCACTTGAGTTGTATTTCTGTCAACTTACTAACAAAGTCTCTACCCAAAGAGGCCCCTGACCATGGTCTCCATGGCTAGGACCAAACCGGCTGCCCAGGCCTCGGTCCCTTCAGCCCCAGGCCTTACACACCTGCACCGTCTTGGTCTGGATCCCCACCATGCCACCGCACTTCTCCTCGATCTGAACGTGCTCAGATATCACACACTTCTGTGTCGTCACGATCTTCTGTATCAGGACACACAGGACCTCATTCCTCCTCTCCAGCACCTGCTGCAGCACTGGGTTTTTCAGATTTATTGTTCTGAAAAAGAAAAGTGGTCATGAGTGACCTAGAGCCTCGGGGAGGTGTGGATTTCCTCCTCTAACACAGATGGCGGCTGAGAGCAGACAGGTGACAACCAGCTTCGTTGATTTCCTGGTGATAAAGAAGGCAGGTCACCCAGAAAGGCATCCAGCAGCCTCTCCTGAGGCCACCTCACACACGCTCCAGCCACCTTCTTGCGTTCACTATGAGACACTCAGAACAAAGCCACTGGGTGAAACTGTGGGCCTTTTAACTAGGTCAGGGGGACATTTCCACATCACCTCCTTCTTAAAAGCCTTCAGTGCTACACCTGTCCTACACTCACCCAGGCGAGGAGGCCTCATGGATCTGGCCCCTGTCCCCTGTCCTGTGCAGACCTCCCCACCCCAACCCCGCACAGCCTTCTCTCTGTGCCTTAAACACATCAGGCACGTGACCAGCCACAGCCCTGGCACCACGTCCCCCAGCTGCTGCATCTCACTGACGCACTGCCACCTCCTTGGGGAGGTATTCCCGGTGCACTCTGCCAACAGAAGCGCCCCACTCAGGTGATCACAGCCTAACACCACTTCTCTAGAGAATAAATTTCCATACAGTTATTTTTCTAGCTCACTCCTTTATTTGCTCATGGCCTGCCCCTCAGTCCAGAGTGCACACTCCAGAGGTGGCCCCATGCCCCCTGTGCACTGCTTACCTCAGGGCTGGATTAGCACCCGGTACACAGGAAGGACTCAATATTTTTAGCAAAAGTGAATGAAGAAAGCATGTGGGTTTTTCCTCTTTTTGCTTTAAGGAACAGGTACAAGAACATGGATGCTTCCATGCGTGAAAGAGACACAATATATGGCAGATGGAGGAGAAGGAGGGTTTGTACTTTGGCTTAACACATGGAGGGCAGGTGGATCTCTTCCCTTTTGCAGCATTGCAGTGGCCAACATGAAGTTCAATCCCTTTGTGACTTCTGACAGAAGCAAAAACCATGAAAGGCATTCTTAAACTCCTTCTCTCACCCACGAGAGGATCATATCTTCCCCTCTTTCCACAGAGCCAAGACAAAAGTACCCAACGGAAAGGGTGATGAATTTGGGGTTGTGTGAGGACACTGGAAAGGTCAGCAAATTGGCAAAGTGGTCCAGGTTTACAGGAAGAAATGTGTCATCTATATTGAACAGGTGCAGGGAGAAAAGGCCAGTGGCACAACTGTCCCTAAGGGCTTTTACCCAGCAAGGTGGTGACCCTGGGCTAAAACCGGACAAAGGTTACAGAAAGATCCTTAAACAGAAAGTCAAAGTTTGCCAAGTAGGAAAAGGGCAAATAGACGAGGAACAAAATGACCTTATATACAACTTTCACTTCAAACTGGTAAATTGTAAAGGAAAAACTATTTCCAGGAGAGTAAGGAAGAACTCTGGAAATTAGCATAAAACTGACAGAAACCCTTAACAGCAGAGAGAGCGAACCAACTCCCACCCGGGTGCCCAACACTATGGGGTGTCAGGAAAGTGTCAACAACCAGATCACAGCATCAGACCAGCAGTCTTGACCACAGGAGAATTCGACCATCCTTATAAGCTTTAAATCCAATTTGGAGAGCTCCCTGGTCTAAAGTAAACTTCTCTGGGGCTGAATGTGATGGTGCACGCCTGAAATCCCAGCTACTCAGCAGTAGGATCCCAAGTTCAAGGCCAGCCTAGCAACTTAGCAAGACTCTGTCTCAATATAAAAATAATAAAGGGATGGGGTGAAGAGAGTGGGGATGCAGCTCTGTGGCAAACTGTCCCCTGGGTTCAATCCCCAGTGCTGAAAAATAAAGTAACTATTCTGTTCCAAAGAAGGAACCTACTTTGAGGTTCCCCCAACCCCTAGAACTCAAATTACTACAACAGCCACTGCTGATGCTGTCTTGCTTTAAGGGTCTTGCAGCCAGTTACCTGAACCCATCAGAAGCTACGGGCCAATATCCATCCCACTGGGCAAAGGGCAACATCCTCAGCATCCTGCAGCCTCAGGACCAGGGGCTGCCATACCTCAGGCATGATTTCCATCCACACTTTTCCCATGGGAACTAAGAATGGTCTCCTCTCTAGCCCACAGCCTTGGGACCATAGCTACTGGTACAGAAAGCTCAGCATCACGTAAACTTATTCCCAAGAACCAAAGGTCCCATCCCTGTTCTACAGGATAGTCGCTACCAAGACCACATGACTTGTTCCCACCAGAGATTGACCTGTGAGATCTAGGGATTTTCCCACCCATATCCTGAAGATCCAGAACCACAGATCAAAGACAAAATCCCCAGTACCACCCATGCTCAACAAACAGGACGTGGGGAAGATCTCCTCCACATGCTACATCTCCAGAAATGTAGATAGCAACATCACAAACCCCAAAATTATCTGCATGTTCCCTGGAAGACATAGAAAATGTCCCATAAGGACACAGCCCATGGACTTCAGACCAAAAGCCCTGGTACCATTCATGCTTGGCCTCTGGGACCATGGCAAAGAGATCATTTGGGTCCCATAATTCCAGGAATGTGGGTAACAGTGCTAGAAGTTTCAGCTGCAGTAAGTAACCCCATGGAACACAGGGAAGGTCCCTTTTATGTTCCCAAATCATGAATCAAGAGTTATTGGTGTGACTGACCCCAGCATCACCAGTGCTCATCTCAAGAAACCTGGGGAAGCTTCTTGCTGTGGCTTCTGGAATCCCGTGGCCAGGCATCTCCGACTTCATCATAAGACTCCGAGAGAAAGTTTCCTTCATACCCTCTGGCTGGGGGAATGCTGGTTGCCACAACACTTGGCATCACTCATGCAGGCCCTGAGGGACATGGGGACAGTCCTCTACACATCTCACCCCACCAGGACGGTGGTAGCTGCCGCTACAAGCCCCAATGCCATTAGCTCTTGACACTGTGGAACCTGAAGACACGTACATTTGGAAGTCTGTGTCCACTACAGAGTCATACTCCTAACTTCACAAACCACTTTAGCCTTCAGAGACACTGCTGACACGAATCACACAGATGCTTGTGAGTATCCTGTAACCAAACACAAAGCACCTGTCCAACTGAATCTTATAAAAGCATTTTGCACAAAAACTGCTTCATAAAATTGAAAGAGGCAAACATTGCACCAGATGCATGGACACAATATAAGGACACGAGAAACAGGAAATGAAGCATGACACCACAAAGGAAAACAATGACTCTCCAGAAGTGGATCTCAACTTGAAGAAGACTGTGGCATGCTGGAAAAAGAACTTAAAATAAGGATCTGAAAGAAATTCAGTGAGACACAAGAGAATACAAATAAACAACACAAAGAAATGAGAAAAAAAATGCAAAGAAATAGAAATAGTAAAAAGAAGCCAGACATGGTGGTACACAGCAACATGACAGGAGGATCTCAAGTTCATTACCACACTCAGAAACTTGGTGAGATCCTGTCTCAAAAAGTAAAAAAGGACAGAGGATGTAATCAGTGGTGGAGTGATCCTAGATCCAATCCCCAGTACAGAAAAATAAAATTAAACAAAAAAGAGTAAAAAGAACTACTGGGAAGTATTGGAGCTAAAATTTTAATCAATAAAATGAAAAAAAAACATAATAATGTACACACTGGGTACAATGGTGCACACCACCATAATCCCAGCAACTTAGGAGGCTGAGGCAGGAGGATTTCAGATCAAAACCAGCCTCAGCAACTTACTAAGACTTTGTCTCAAAACAAAAAATAAAAAGGGTTATGGATGTAGTCCAATGATAAAGTGCTCCTGGGTTTAATCCCTGATGCCCTCCCACACTCACACAAATGTACATAACAGACTAGGAAAAAACAGAACAAAAAATTTCTGAACTTGAGAATAAGTTTTTAGTTTACACATTCAAATAAAAAAAAAAGCAGTGGGGGTGGGTGTGGGAGGGGGAGGAGGAGGAAAAGAAAGAATTAAAAAGAATGAAAAAAGCCTGCAAGACTTATGGGATACATTAAATGAACACATGTTCACATTAGAGGAATTCCAGAAGATGAAGAAAAGGTAAAAGGCATTTAAAACTAATTTCTAGCCCCCAAACTTCTCAAGTCTTCAAAGACATATGCACATCCAGATATAAAAAGTTCAAAGGATCCCAACTAAATTAAACCAAAATAAACCTTCATCAAAGTATATAATAATCAAAACTACAAGGCAGCTGGGCACAGAAGCTCACACCTGTAATCCCAGTAGTTTGGGAGGCTGAGGCAGGAGGATCTCGAATTCAAAGGCAACCTCAGCAATTTAGTAAGGCCCTAAGCAATTCAGTGAGACCCTGTCTCTAAATAAAATATTTTTAAAAACTAGGGATGTGGGTCAGTGGTTAAGCACCCCTGGGATTAATCAGAGGGAGGAGGGGGAGGAGGAGGAGGAGGAGGAGGAGGAGGAGAAAATCCTAAAACAGCAAGAGAAAAGCACTGCATCACATATGAGCGAAAACCCATTAGACTTAGAGTAACTATCTCAGCAGAAATCTTGATGGCCAAAAAATAGAATGGGATGGTGCATTTAAAATACTAAAAGGAAAAAATTGACAACATTAATACTATAGCCAGCAAAATTACCCTACAAAACTGAAGAAGAAATAGTTTATCCCAGTTAAGCAAAAGCTGAGAGAATTCATCACTATAAGAGAAACCCTACAAGAAATTCAAGTATTTCTTGAGGAAGTTCTACACTAGAAATGAAGGAATAATAACTAAAAACACATGAATATAAGAAACTCACTATGAGAACACACACAAAAAAGGAAAGAATCAAACCTTAGCAGGACAGAAAACTATAAAATCACAAAAATAAATGAGAGGTTAAAAAGAATAATACTTAAAAACAAGTAGGATATACAATTAACAAAATGACAGGAGGAAGCTCATATCTTTTAGTAATAACATTGAATATAGATGGATTGAATTCATTGATAAAAAGACATAAACCAGGCTGCGGATGCAGCTCAATGATAC